CAGCATTTCAAAATGAAGTCATGTTTAGACGCGTGGTGCCACCTGTGTGTTGTCTGAATTTTTGCTTGTGTGCTGAACTTGAATTTGCAGTTAGGGAAAGCCCAAGTATGTTTGCAGGTGGGTATCAGATCACTTAACCATAACATTGAATGGATAATTGAAACCACATAGATTCGATTCTGCCTGATCAGAGTACTGTTACCTCAGTTAGGATCTAAACCACAGAAGTTTCCAAACTTGGGAGTGTTCCTGGGGTAGGGTTCAAGCAGAGTTGGGTGGCTCCAGTCAGCAATAGATGTCAGCAATTGCTGAATTTGGCTTGGGAAGGACTTAAGGGGACATTGTGTCCATTCTTTTTTCCTAAAGTAAATTTCATCAGGGTCTACTGACTAGAATATATTAACTTTACGAGTGGTCTTCTAATTGGTTCTTTGCATTTTCTGAATCATATTCCTATGACGCATTGGATGTCTTAAAGATACCATGTAGTCTACTATAAGTTGCCCCGCTCCCAAACGCCAGAGAGATTGACAGACTGTTCCATTGTTTGAGGGTCTTTAACATCTCAAGAATTTTCCAATATTTGTCCCAGTCACTTGTACAATGAGCAGATGAATTCGAGTTACATGTTTTGTATACACAAGGGACCATTGATTCACATCACCTATAAGAAAGCTTTCTATGTATTTGAAGCCTAACCTCGTATCTTCTGCCAATTTTCTCTTCTTAGATTAAAATCAAGTTATTGATACGTTTTTTAGAGCTTTACTTTCAAAACCGTATACTTGCTCATGTCCTCAGTATTTCTGCCTAACCACTTACGCTTCATTTCTGTTTGGACATCTGAGTTCTCTATCCATTTATAGTATTTTGTATGTGTTTAATTTTTGGAACACTTTTACAGTTAATGAAGATTATTTTAAACTCTCACCCTGCTATCTTAAGCGTTTGCAGACTCCTCTGTATGTCATCTGAAGTTTTACAAGTTACCCAGTTTCATTGTCCAAGTCAAAACTGAATACATAGAAATGGCCTGTATCCAGGACAAGTTATGATTTGACAGAGGACTATTAATCAATAATCTGGGTAAAGTTTATACTAACGTCATCTGGGCTATGTTCATCTGTTATGACAGTGTCTTGTAGGGCAATGTCAAAAGGCATGTTAGAGTTATAAGATACATGTCATCTAGTGCTTTCCTTACACTTACAAGGCCAGTTAACTTGTCAAAGAAGAAAACTGCACTGTGCTGATGGATTCATGATGATGTTCTGTATTACTCGCATAATACTGGTTCAGTAATTTATTTTGTTATCAGTCTGGGTAACTGTAATTTCTAAGGTTCGCCTTTTTACCGTCTCAAAAACAGACATTTGATGTGCTTCCAAGGCCTCTGCCTTGAATGAATTCCTGAAGATAATCATTAGCAGTTACAAGGTTTGCCCAGGCTGGTTCCTTTGAGGCACTCTAAGGTAAATATCATCAGGGTCTGTTGAACTGAATATATTAAAATTACCAACTGGTTTCTAGTTGATTCTTTGCATTTTCTGGATCATATTCCTATGACGCATTTGTCATCTTGTTTCTGAGAATCCCAGTGTTTTAATATTTAAAAGGATAGAAAGCCCCTGGTGTGCAGGTTCACAGGAGGAAGGCCTTCTCAGTACCTAGTGAGCAGTGTAAGAAATGAGGCAATGTCTCTGTGCACTGGTGGGCAACCTGCAATGTGATCTTTGCAGGGTGTACAAACCGCTCTGTTCAACTTGCAGTTTAAAATAAAAGTAAGTCTTCAGCTGTTACAATTGATAGAAGGACTTTAAAATACAGTTAATGCAGAAATTTTTGAGCCTGTGAAGAAACTGGACCAAAAAAAAGTGACCTGCTGTACCTATGAGGAGCAGTACCTAACAACTGAAGGCTGGGAGAGCAGCAGGGCCCAGTACGCACTCCTGAGCACTGCCAGAGCAGTTTGCTTCACGTGGCCTCTTCCAGCCTTACTGGACTGGGTAGAAGAAAAATACAGGTAGAAAATAATTCTTTTTGCAAAATGGAAATTTGATTAGAAATGTTTATTTTCAATTAGGTAGTTGCTGGTTTTGCTGTTACTCTTTTGAGGGGAGGATGGTTTTCTGTCCTCTTTTTCTATGGAGAAACTCTTGAGTTTAGATTTATTTCTGTTAACAGAAGTGATTTTTTAATTTGTTTTCCTTCATGTTTTTGATGAAAAACTTGAGCAAAAAATAACAATTGATCGGGTGGCTTTTCTAGACTTAACAAATTCAAGTTCTGCCTCCTCTCGCTTTGGTAACCCACTTGCTGTGCTTGCTGACCCATGCCGTGTGGGCCTGCACAAGATGGTCCTTTGGCCACCACGGTATGGTTAATACTGGGGACCTCTGCTTTCCATCAAACATGGTAGGGTACCTAACAGTGTTTTCTTTGACTGGTAGCGGAAATTCAGAGAAGTAAACTGCTGTTGAACTAAAGTGTAACAGAGCAGGCCCCGGCCTGCTGTTAGGACCCAAACTAGCCCAGGCTTTCCAGCTTCTTCAGTGAAGACATTGCAAAAATAGATCAGCTTTCCTGGGCTCAGGAGTTTATGAGTTTTCTATTTCCTGTATTATCATAGAGATTTTTATTTTTTTTTGCATAATTAGCAGGATGTCAGTTCAGAGTTCTGACTTGACCACTGGCTAATGGTATCTCTGTATTCATAGCTGCACGCTCCACAACGAACTAAGCATATGGTCACATATATGGTATATATGATATATATAAAGCATATATGATGCATTTTTTTTAAGTTATCGTGCTCTCACTGAAGAGCAGGTGTATCTACCTTCATTCCTGATCAGTTTCAGAAGAGGTAGTGTGATGCGCATATGCTTTTTTCAAAACAGAAAATGGGAGTGTCCTTGCTCCTCTATTTTTGCAGGCCTAAGCCTGAGGCGAGTTGCTTTGTGATGGTACAGGACGGTACCTGAAGAAATGTAAATAATGTTTACACATTAATGACGCAGTGCTCTCAGAAGCCTTTAACAAGATGTATTTTTTAAAAAGGATCTTTGTCTGCTTCCTTCTGGTGTGGTACCCTTGTCTAGTGTGTACCTGTCAGTGGCTGAGCTGTGGTGATACTGGAAGAAGGAAAAGGAACAGTTAAACATCAGTGTCCCCTGGATCTCACAGCAAACCACCAGTCTTACCTCCTATTGCTAACTGCTCATGAAGTGTGAAATACCCTGTTTTCCTCCTGTTGCTCTTTTCCTTGTTTTTGTTTTTATTTGTATCTAATTGTTGCAAGTTTGGACCCAGCCTCTTAATGAGGAACTGAAGAACCATCAGACTCTGTTGTGTGTAGAAGATTCAAGGTTGATCTATCAAGTTCACTGTTTTGTGATTTATCAAAAATAATTTCGACTTTCCTCCCAAATTATTTTTCTTTCCTATCTACAACTTAGACAATTTTAATTGTAAAGAGAAACAGGAGATAAAACAATGTTCTTTGTTTGTGTGTTGTTATATTGATTATCTTGAATTCTCATTTGATTCCCCTGAAGCTCTCCACTGCTCTATTTTGAGATTGAGAGGGTTAAAAAAGATAAAGAGGAGTCACTCCCACTTGATAAATTCAGATGAATCTATAATTTCTAAATTAATAGGAAAAACAACAACAACAAAAATCTAACCAGGAACATTATCTGTGATAATTATTTCTTAAGAGAGAAATCTAATTCTTAACTGTTAATTAGGGAAAGTGGATAATGGAAGAAAGTTCAAAATAATAAAGTTAATGTAATAATAATGTTCAGTAGGTAGGCCAGAATACTGCATTTATTTACTATCTGTAGGTTATCGCATATCTTGATTCCTGACTGTTTTATGTTGTTGCTTCTTTGGGAAGTCAGTGCTGGGCACAGGTAATTGCACTATCACTGATTTAGAAATAAGCTTTCAGAATAGGGGTGGAAAAAGGATATTTTGTTGCATTGTAAGCTATTTAGGATTGGGACTTTGTTTTGCTTCACCCAAGGAAATGGCGTTTTGTTTCCTTTGGAGTTCTTTGACCACTGGTATAATGCAAAGGAATAATGGAAGTGCTAAGAATAATGTTTTTATCCATGCCTCTGAGTCTGAAGTCATCCTGAGCAACCAGAAGGCAATATAAAAGCTCTGCTGTGTACAACTGTAGCATAGTTTGCCCAGAATGACCACAGTATTATGTGTATACTATGCCGGTTTTTGTGAGGATACATTGTTGGCTGATAGCTGAGTTGCTGGCTTGGAGAAACAGTTGACTGCGTTTCATCCTTGACCCCAGTCTTTCACTTGCCTAGTTTAGCTAGTCCTACAAGAAATTTAGATTCCTTCTAGATCAGCTCCCATTTCTCAGGAGCAATCAAAAAACAAACAAACAAAAAAAAAAAAACCTTCTCTTCATATTTATGTGTTTGTCAAATAGGCACAGGCATATTTATTTTAGAAGTATAGTAAATGGGCTTCGCAATACTGTATTGTTGAAATGCAGCAACTGCGACACTGATCACAGCAGAGGAGAACACTACATCAGTGAGGAGAAGGGCATTTTAACCTAGGGGATGTGGGCAGTGCTCTTCAGAGCAAGGCCAGGAACTATTTGTGACCCAGGGACAGAGACTTAGATTTCTTCTTCGCAAATTCTTAAGTATAGTGAAATATATTCTGTATAATCTTTGCATATGGTCCTCCTGCACTATTTTCTGGAAAAGCTTTTTCCCTCCGACTCCAGATGAACTATCAGGCCATTCTTCTGGCACATGGTCAAATAACGAGATCACCAGAAGAGATTCTTGTGTTCTCTTTGCTGTGCTTGCACTGGGAGCTGTGCCTCATATCACGTTTGTGCTGTGGATATTGCAACAGCAGATTCAGTTGTCTAACATCAGTGCTGATAAGCAGGTTAATGTAACTTTGCAAAGAGCTCAAGTAACCTTTAATGAAGCTTTCTTTATTTCCCTCTGCAGGTGGTTAGTCGAGTGGCAGCTCAGCAAGGATTTGACTTGGATCTTGGATACAGGCTACTGGCAGTATGTGCAGCCAACAGGGACAAATTCACTCCAAAATCAGCCGGTAGGAAAAACCTTTTTTGGTATATCAGTGATTTCTTGGACTGTTATATGCTGAATAAATACTACTTGCTACTGTATTGCTTTTTTAAAAACAAAAAACAACCAAGTGTTCTGTGGTAACAGTGCTGCAGATTTTAGCATTTCAGTGGTATGCTGTTCTGAGGATGATTGGCTTTGGGAATTAACATTTTTCCCAAGTAGTGCTGTTCATATCCCTGTTTGATCTTATAGATGAAGTGTAAGTTCCAGAAACAGTGATGTTCAATAATCTTAGGGAGGGAACGAGCATACTCAGACCCCTCCATCTTGGTAAACCATTGATTTTCTGTTGTATGTCAGCCTTTCTATATCTTTTATGTTCATTCTGTAAGTGTCTGAAATAATATGTTGCCAAACTTTTTTGTTCCTGGATTGCATATGTCTGTGCAAAGAAGTACCACAGTTTCTTGTAGGTATATTCACTCACTATAGAATTTCAAGCCAAGAATAGGTAACAATGCTGTTAAAATAATATTAAGTAGCACTTTTTTCATTTTTTTTTTAATGGCAATTATCTGTTATGGTGCTGTGATAGGGTAGGACATCAAAGATTATGATGTGTTGCTATTGTTTTCCTGTATTGTTAAAAGTATAAAATGCACTTGGGAGTCTCTGCTTCTCACATTGTTTTTTATTTAACTGGAGAGTTTAATTTTGTTTCTTTTTGTAGCTGATGTCAACATAACGTGTACTGATTTGAAAAAAAGGCAGGTATCTACACTCTGGAATGGAACACTTAACTTTTCTAGTTAGTAACTGGTATACAGTCCCAGTTTTAGAATGTTAGAAAAGGCTACCTTCTTCCAAAACAGTAATTTATTGTCAACTGATTACGTGTTAGTAGCATTTATTTTCATGTAACTTTTTGGTCCTTACCAGACTCAAACTGCTTTCACTCGTGGCTATCTTTTGTTTTAAGTGCTCTAAGCAGTTTCTTGTGCAAAGTGGTTTTCACATCATGACATATTCAATGGACTAATTAATCCTTTGTATGAGAAGGGATTATTAATTTTACTAAATGTCCAATGAACTGTCTAATTTTCTTTTGGGAAAGCTGTGTGGAAGATTAAAACCTTCAGCTGACCAGTCACAATCTTCCTTTTTCTGAATTTATACCAAGTTTCTCCAATAGTTAGCTATCGTGTCTCTTGTGCTTTTTTTTTTCTTTTTTTTTTTTTAAGGATTGTTTGAGGATTTCTTGCTAGGAATGCATTAACTGAGACTTTTCTTTCCCTTGAAAATATACCTAGTAAAAGTAGTCATACCTTTGTTCCTGGAAGTTCTTACTGAGTGTGTGTTAGTCTCTGAGGTGTGAGGTCTCTATCAGTCTGTTAGTAGAGGTAAGGTAGTCTTTGGATCTTTTCATGTTATAATCCTTTTTGTTTGGAGCAGACATGAGAGGATAGCCTTGAAAGCCACTGGTTGGTCGGTCATATCCTAGAAAAGCCCAGTTGCAGTGTTTCATTTGTACAAATAATTATTTGGGTGGAATATCTGCCTTTTTTTTTTTTTTGTCCAACTCATTACTCTACTAATCCGTACGTCTTTCCATTGTTAATTGATACAATACTGGGAAAATTGTAATGAAATCACGAGCTCTCCTCTCAGTGTATTAAAAACCTTTTCAGTCATTTGCTTTCCTTCCTACTTCCCAGATGCATGTACAAACGATTTATTTCCAGTGATCTTACATATCAGGTTTCACAGCTACCTTAGGTTAACCATGTATATACTTATTTCACCAATTGTTCCTGGGGTTTCATCATGCCTACCCACACCATGTTTTGCAGTGCTCTTTTTGTCTGTATTAAGTAGTCAAAACTCAGGGCACGCCATAATGCATTTTGGTGAAAAGTCACATGTAACACCTACTCTAAGGGTGTCACATTCACATATGACCTGTGAGAGCTGCATCATTGAATGGGCAGCTTGAAAGACTGACAGGTGAGGATTACAAATGTGAGATTGTTTCAGACTATCTTGAATTTTATTTCTCAAAGTGTTAATTTCAACATCTGAACGTATTAACGTTGTCTGATTTCTAAAGCAACAGTGGATCTGCTCCCTTATTCAGTTATCATTAAAATTGTTTTTTATTTTTTATTATTTTTAATAATTTTTATTATTTTTTAAGCAGTGCGTACCATTGAAAGCTGCCTTTCACGATTTGCTTAAGTTGTCAAGGGTTCTTGCATATGGATTTGAGTAACTCATTCTTTTCCTTGTTACATCTGTTGAAGACACCTTCAACACTTCTTCCAGTCACTTTCTCATGTAGATACCAAATGGCATTATTTTTAATGAATAAGAATGTTTTTCCCTTCCTCCAGGCTTAAGGGGAATTTATAATGGCTTGAATTCATTCTTCGAACTAGGGCTATAATGCTACCAAAGGGGTAGCTCCAGAAATACTTCTAGTCTGTGTTGCATTGTTTCTGATGCACTGAAATACTAAGAGGAGAAAAAAAAAAATTAGTGGCTCTTGGGCTTCACAGCTCTGCTCAGCACAGCACGGGGACCACCCCAGGTCCAAAGTGGCAGCTAAGTGTTCGCTGGTCACCTTCTGTTCGTCTGTTTGGTGAGAGTTAGGGTCCCCATGGCCGTGCCCAGTGGTCTTGGTTGTCCCTGGTGGAGCAGAGCTGGAGCCAGAAGCCAGAGGGCTGCCTGCCCAGCAGGCCCACAAACACACCCCGGATCGGGCAGTCAGCGCCACCTGGTTTCCTGCCACTTGGCTTAAAAAGCTGTAGTGGTAGCTGCCTGCTAACCCACCTCACATAAGCTGAAGAGGTTAGGCGATGGTGACACGAGCTGCAGAAGGCAGATCAGAGCATACCTGATGTGGGGAGATGGACAGCAGGGGGGACAGAAGCTGTCTCAGGTGGCACAGCCACGGGAGCAGACCAAGAGCTGTCAGCTCTGTAGCGTTTCCCAAACAGAACAGGACAGTCTAGTGTTGCTGAAACAGTATTTGATGTTGTGCTTTTTTTGTCTGCCGTGTTTTACCTGGCCATTGAGATAGTCAACAATTAGCTAATGTGAGTTGTTTCAGAGAATGCCTTGAGGCTGGAGACTTGCGTGGCATGAAAAATATTAAAAAGTTGTCATATGTGCTTTTAAATAGTAATGATGGTTTAATGACTTTGCCTTTTGTCTCTGCTTTCTGGTGTTTGTACCTGGAATAATAGCGATGCCTCCTTTTATTCTTCTAGCCCATGCTGCTGCATCTGGGCTGCTGCCTCAGCAGGAGGTCAAATACAGCGCTTCCCACCCTGAAGACAAATGACAAAGCCTTTAAAAATACATGTCTCTCTTTTGGTGACAGCTGCTCCCCAAACCTTCCAAGGCAAATTCCTTTGCCTTGTTGTGACACCTATAGGGAATGGCACAGCAGGTTGGCTGCATGCTCATTTACTTTCAAACTACAGCAACCTCAGTTGCGCTTAGTATGCAAGTGCATGGGTGTTTGCGTATTCCTGGCTTTCTAGCCCTCTGCCTGAGCTTTTCTTTCAGAATAGTGCCTGCTTGGGCATCTAAACGTATTCTGAGCATGGTATCTTCTGCTTTTGCCCTTCCTGTACAAAATTTTAAGTTGTATGGTAGCTTTATTTTAAGGTCCATTATTTAAGTAAAACAGAACTCACCAGTCAGTGTTTGTTAAAAAACTGAAAGGGAACAATTTTCTGTGCTGAAATTCAAGAAAACAACATCAAAAACTTTATCAAGCTACTGAACTTCATTGCTCTTGTAGCTACTTCTGCTTTTGTCAGGGGGCCAAGCTGAGGCCAGACAAGGGGACGACAGGATGAGATCATACAGGGAGCTTTGTCAGAAAAAGACAGTGTTCTGTATCTCTGTAAAAGAGAGAGGGAGAAAGGAGCCTGAGGGCAGAACCGTGCAGAAAAGGTACTTTAGCAATCACTGAGAAGCTACAGAAAACAAATGCTCTGATAGCTTGAATGGGCAGCTAAGTGTTAGCTGTTTGATAGCAGAGATAGCAACCCCTTTTTGATAGTGGCTTGTTTTTGGTCCCTTAGGCTCTGCTGGCTGTGCTTTGATTTCATATTTGAAGAGAAAAATTATTAATACTCTTAATTTTATGTGAGGTATAAATGAAAACTTCATGCTATTGGAGGGTTTTACATTGAACTTTGTTTATTTGTTTAGCTTTTATCATTGTACTGTAACTGTGAAGTAATAGGGCTGTTCTTAGTGGGCCTGCTACCAAAGCTGTGAGTAAAATGGACCCTGGGTTAAGAAAAGTATTTGCAGTGTGAGGGTACTGGCAAATGGTTGTGTTAAAGCATCACCAGGCAAGAGAGTGAGACCTACGAAGGTATGTCCTGATTAGGGTGTGTTATCTGGCATGTTTGACTGTCTTGTTTTGAAATAATGGTATAGATGAAACAAAGTGTATTTTGGCATATTATTAAATCAAACTTACAGAAGTGAGAGAAAACGAGAGAAGACTGTGCAATACAAATAAGGAAAAGGTAGAAAGTAAGGATGATCTCTAGAGTATGTGTGACCAGAAAGCTGGGTGAACATTTTGCCTGAGTTTCCAATAATAATGCTCATATTGTCTGTGGAGGCAAGGCAACTGGAAGGATTGCAAGTATAGAATGGAAATTGCTACAGCCAAGGCCAGTGGCATCCCTCCAGCTTGAAGGGACCAAATGATCAGCGTGCCTGCATTCAGAAAGAAATAGCATATGAAATGTCAGTCGCGTGCCTCACACCCAACATTTTCAGCAATTCAGTCAAGTCAAAAATGGTCCCTTACGATTGGAGTCGAAATGCAAATACTGCATCTGTATTTAGCAGAGTGGGTGATGAGAATATGTAGGCAGTTTTATGAGAGCAGAGTAGAAGAGGGTGTTCATGAAATGAAAGCTGAGCAGGGTCATGAGTTGTATGTAAATGCTAACAAATAAAGAGCTTAGTACAAGAAGAAATGTAAAGCTA